TTATTTCACATGCAAAATAAACAAAATGGATCCGCTGGTATACATTGTAATGGAACCGTGAATATGCATGTTTTGGTTGTCTGCACTAAATCATGAGCGTTACATGAAATGATCGGACTCCACATGTTAAATACATTTTATCTATACAACCTTTGAGATATATAAAAGTTTGAAATTCTTCTGAACCGTCACATCTTTCAATCCTGGAAGCTCTCTTTTTTTAACATATTTTTTTTTAATTTTTTTAGTCTTGTACCAAAAATCACACAACCTATATTGTAGAAATGAATTATTGATTATTAAGTCAAAAATAAAATTTTAATATTTGGATAAAAAATGTTTATTTTGTTTTCATTCTTTTCTAGTTATAACATGATTCTCCTCATTGCTCCATGCAACAATGTTGTTAGCCCTATCCTAGTAAAATTTTTCCTCGCAACTCAAATTTATGAAAGAATTAGTTCATTAATATTAATAAACTAATCAAATTAATATAAAAAAATATTTAAGTTAATAATAATCTTGAACTTTCTAAACCGTGCATCAATCATTGGTTTCGATTTAGGACTTTTAAAAACCTGATTCCATTAAAACAATTACACTTACATCGACCATTTCATCGTTGATGTTATCATTTAGGTAGCATTAACATTTATAAGCCTAAAAAAAATGTATATTCTTCGATTTTATTGAAAACTGCTGATGCATTTTATTAAAATGTTTTCAGGTTTAACCATCAGATATGTGCACCATGACTCCTTTCATGACATCATGTGAATTGTCATGTCATTGCTCAATAGTCTTTAGAGATATGAATAATCTTTATAGTTTATGAGTGATTGGAAAATATCCAAGTTTTCTATATGTGGCAGAAGTCATTCCCCTGCCGATTATGAGTTTACAAAAAGCATGCTCACATATTCTGTACTTGCTCAACTTTGCATTTTCCAGGTAATACAACAAGCAAAAATTTAAACACATGTTGACTTCTTGTATCACCAAGGGGTTTTATCATGGATTTAACAATGCTTATCGCCCATTCAACAACCATGTCGTAATCGGCCTCACTCAATCCATGATCTGATTTAATAGTGAATACCTGTGTAATGAAAGATAATTTACCATTATTCGTGCACCCATCCTATAATGATTTTCTAGAGTATTTCAAAAGATAAAAAAAACATGGCCGTATCTGTATCTGGTTTTTCATCTATTATTGGACATTCACTTGCATAATCCAAATTCATTCTCATTGCATCTATAACCATATTCTATAAGGATTAATATTGTTATCTATAACTTATGCACATTGCTAAAACTATAAGTTAATGCAACCATCCTTTCTATCATGGTCTTATAGGAAACATATAGTTCTCCGTATGCAAATCAACACAAATATTTCTCTATAAACCCTTCTTTTAGAGATTACATCATTACAACATCTAGATTGAGAAAATTTTTATTTTTATCTCTCTTAAATGGACATCTAATACCGTATCTACTAATATTTTTCGGATTAGATAGTGTGTAATTAATAAAACACTTAACCCTATTACAATAATCTATCCCGTGCAATCTTTCTTGTGAATCTTGATACATCCATAAATGACAATCCATTACTTATATCAAACCTATATAGAAAATTGATCATGACAACATGTATTAATTAATTATTTGAACTAAGTAAATTAGCTAACATTGGTTTAAATAAAACTTATTCAATTTAATTTATAGTATTCTAATTATTATTAATTATCTATATAAATTCAAATTCCTATACATTTAATGAAATTTTTAACTAAATAATAAAAGTAACAAAATATAAAATGGATCCATTAAATAAGCCATTATTTATTTCATTATAGAACACTTAAGTCACAAATTCAAAATCAATTTTATTAAATTACAAACAAATTTAATTTTTTAAAACTTCAAATAAACCCTAACATGTACAAATCATACATTTAAAAAATAAAATTATATGAGAAAAAAGTTATAATACAAGTAAACATATAAACAAATTACATATATTATAAAAAAATAATAAAAACAAACTTTTTATAATCAAACTTAAATAGAAAATGAGTAATTTTACTTATTTGATATGAAAAATCAGAAGAAGAAATTAAATCAGAAAAGGAATACTCACAAATTAAGTTTAAAAGGGACTGTATTTATTGCAGGAGGTTGATCTATAATAAACTAAAAGGTTATATCATTTGTAGTGGAGCTGATTAAGTAAGAAGCAAACAAATGGGGAAAGGGGTGTTGTTTGACGGATGAATTTCACTTATATGTTCATTTATTCAGCAATCATGTTTGTATTAATAATACATAACTATACATTTTTTTTCATTATAATTTTCTCAATAAATAGACAACATTTCCTTAATGTTTATCTATAAAAACTATTTTGTCATTAAAGTTGAAAGTAATCTACCTGCTTCCTGGAAATTTTCTCGTTTTTGTTTGTCAATTTCCAAGCAGTGCCAAATGGGCGACGCGTCATTAGCTCATAGCAATTGATATTTTAACGAAACAAATATCAGCCCCCACACCTTCAACTTTGTTTCACCCTGCTGTCAGGCAGAGATACCTATAAACGCTGATTGGAACCCTTTCTTTTATCATTGATTTTCTTGCTCGGTTTTATGTCCCTTTAATCATTGAAATCGGAAGACCAATAATTGTTTGATTACAAGGACAGTGGTCGTACGTACATTTGTACATTTAATTGAAAAAACAGACAAAAACACTGGATTAAACGTCTTCACTGAAACACACAATAGCCGTTGATTTCATTGTCTCTCTCTCCTCTCTTTATTACAAGGAAAATTATCAGTATCTTGCGGACACGGATAACGGAAGGAGCACCAACAGTGGGGTCCTCTCGGTTCATTCTATGAACCTTTAAAGATTCTAGAAACACGGGACAACTTGTATTTTTAAGAATTTTATTTTTAAAAGATTAATATTTTTTATTATTTTTGAATTTTTTTAATACATTAATATCTAAAATAATCTTTTAAAAATTATTTTAATATATTTTTGAATAAAAAACACTTTAAAAATCTATTACAACCACACTTTTAAACACATCATAAATTATTAAACCCCAAATCCTTTTTACAGCTAATCAAATTAAACGACATTGATAGTTGGTTTACATGTTTCAATGCTTCTTTCAATTAAACAAGGTTTTGAGTTTAAATTTTGTAAATAAAACATATCATTATTAAACGACATTGATAGTCGGCTTGAAGGAGAAAAACAAGACAAATATCCCGTCCATAATGAATAAAAACATGCGCGCATGGACGCAAGCGCGTTTCAAACAAAAACGGAAATAGTACAACTCACGCTGACGTGGCAATGCGTGTTTGTTTTTTCTTTTCTCTTTTCTCTTTTTGTTTAGAGAATTCAAGAAGAGAAGAAGAATTATCAGAGGAGGTCTGGAAACGGCTAAAATGAGCTGTGCAATCGGGGATAGCCTTGCTGTATGTTAGTAACGTAGATACTTTACCTTAGAATTATCAGAAATACTTTTTTTTTTAATTTTCTATTTTTTTATTAATACAAAACCAAAATAAATTAAAAAACTAAAGCAGAGGAAAATAATTAAGTTAGAAATGAACTTATAGATTAGTTAGTAGTAGCCATGCAAAAAAAGATTAAAAGAGAAACATCTCGGTAAAAATCTTAGAAGAAATTAATTTTTTTTTGGATACATGTCTATTAATTGGTGTGAATTGTTATTTGATTAATTGGTGTATTGATCGTACTTAATTTAATAATATTTTTTGAAAAAAATATCTTTTTATTGTCTATCATTTCATCGTGCACTACTATTTTTTTACTTTTCTATTTTTTATAAATAAAAAATCAAAATAAATAAGTTACAAATGAACTTATAGATTAATTAGTACCTAGCCATGTAAAAAAGAATTAAAAGAGAAACATCTCTCGATGAAAATCTTAGAAGAGATTAATTTTTTTTGGATACATGTCCATTAATTGGTGTGAATTGTTGTTTGATCAGTATTGATCGTACTTAATTTAATAATATTTTTTGGAAAAAATATCTTTTTATTGCCTATCTTTTCATCATGCCTATTTTTTTTACTTTTCTATTTTTTTATAAATAGAAAATCAAAATAAATTGAAAAACAAAATAGAGGAAAATAATTAAGTTATAAATGAACTTATAGATTAATTAGTACCTAGCCATGTAAAAAAAAAAAAAAGGAAGAAAAGAGAAACATCTCTTGGTGAAAATCTTAGAGGAGATTAACTTTTTTGGATACATGCCCATTAAGTAGTGTGAATTGTAGGCACGCGAGGAGGAGGGTAAGTGGGATAAGGAAATGCAGTGACCGTTTGTTTTCATGTCTGAGTTAAACATACTAAAAAAAATGATTTTTATTATTTTAAAATATTTTATTATTATTTTAATATGCTAATATAAAATATAAACCGCAAACACTATACTTTCTTGTGTGATTTGTTTTTAAAATAAAATATTTTAAAAAACAATAATGAGGAATTACAAACACCACGGTAATTCTAAAAAGAAAAACATCTCTTGGTTAAAATCTCAGAAGAGATTAATTTTTTGTGGATACATGCCACTTAGATAGTGTGAATTGGAGGCATGCGAGGAGGAAGTTAAGTGGGATAAGATAATCAAACATTTAAAAAAATAATTTTTTATTATTTTAAATTATTTTTTTATGATCTTTTATTGTTTTAATATGTTAATATCAAAAATAAATTATAAACACTACACTTTCTTGTGTGATTTATTTTTAAAATAAAATATTATAAAAAGCGACAATAAAGAATTACAAATACTAACGTAATTCTGCAGAATGAAATGGGCTACGTCACCTACCAATTCTCTACCTGTCACGCAACAAGAATGAACAGTGTGAATTTTTTATTTTATTTTTGTGTATATAAAGGCTGCGCAAAACTCTAGCTTTCCATCCGCTCCAATTGCTTTCACGAGATCATTGAGAGAGAGGGTTTTAGTCAGCTAGAAATCTTCTGACAGAACGCAGGGGATTCTTCTGCTTGAGACCCTCAGCTTCTCCTGTTTATCATATATTGAGAGATCAGATTGTGTTTTGGTGTTTTTTTGGTTTATCGAGGAGGAAGTAAAGATGGCAGTGACGAGCATTCTCCATTTGGCATTCACATTTGGCATTCTAGGTATATAGACATAACATCATACATGCAGTTGGTTTCTAGATAGTCGTTTGCAATAATGCCTAGAGATCCTTACTTCTTCTACTTGATATGAACGTCATAATAAAGTTACGTTCTACCTATACTCCTTTCCTCTAGAGAAACTAGCCTTTGCAAAAAATAGGGGAGATTATCGAGATATCTTCTCGCCACCTTGCAGAAAATTTAAAACAAGAAAGCATGAATTTTTTTTTTTTTTTGTCAATCCCGATTGTGTTCCCATTCATTATTTTTATTACATCAAAATGTTGATTCATGTTGTTGTTTATTTTTATCGATGACTAACTGACAAATCAATAAAATTCTTTTTTGCCTGATGACAGGAAACATTATTTCAACCATGGTGTTCTTGGCTCCAGTGTAAGTGCCGGGCGTTTTCTCTAGCTTTATAATTTCGATGTGTTCTTCTTCATTCTTGATTATGAAGTTCGATGACGGAATAGTAAGGAAACTCTTTTTTTTTTTTTTTGCAGGCCAACATTTATCCGAATTTTCAAAAAAAAATCAACAGAAGATTTCCAATCGTTGCCTTATCTCATGGCATTGTTCAGTTCTATGCTTTGGCTCTACTATGCAATGCTTAAAAAAGATACAATTCTTCTTGTCACGATCAACTCATTTGGATGTCTCATAGAGACTACTTACATTGCCATCTATATTGTTTATGCAACAAGAGAGAGCAGGGTATATATATACCTTTATCGATTACTACCATTGCTTTATTTGAAACTCAAGGTTTAACTTACAATTAACAATCCAGATTAATAATAGGAATGAAATCTTCGGATGCAGGTCTCAACAATCAAACTACTTATTTCTATGAACATGGGGTTGTTCTCTTTGATCCTTCTCCTTGCACATTTTCTAGTGAGCGGCTCAGTACGTGTTAAGGTTCTTGGTTGGCTTTGTGTTGCCTTGTCTGTGTGCGTCTTTGCAGCACCTTTAAACATCCTGGTGAGTTTTAACATCTGAACCGAGATGCGAGTTCATGATCTTTGCTAGCTTCATGTTTTTCATCTATCGTTTACTGGGTTTTTTTTGTAGAAACAAGTAATTCGAACAAAGAGCGTGGAGTTTATGCCGTTCACCCTGTCATTTTTCCTTACTTTGAGCGCGGTCATGTGGTTTGCCTATGGCCTTTTACTCAAGGACTTGTGTGTCGCTGTAAGTAATTTCCATGCATTACTTCAAAATGACGAAATATCTACCTATTTCAGTTCAGTTCAGCTCAGCTCAGCCACCAACTGATTCTTTGTTTCCTTGTGAACTTGCAGCTTCCGAACATCTTGGGCTTCATCTTGGGGTTACTTCAGATGGTGCTATATGGGATCTACAGGAATGCACAGAAAGTTGAAGAGAAAAAGAAGCTGCCAGCTTTAAAGAGTATTGTCATATTAAGCGCGGTAGGGGGCCCTGGAATTTATCCGGTTGACGCAGAACCTGACGTGAATGGAGGTGCTGAGGAGCATGACCAGACAGAGGAGTCTAAGGAGGATGAGAAAAGCATGGAAGCTTCACAGGACAAGCTCCAATCAAATGAATGTGCAGTTTGATTTACATGTATTTATTTATTATAACCTTCTTACAAACTTCCTCCCTAATGATCATACGATGTCTTGCCATCGATCCCCTACCAGTAAGTAGCATTAATTTCATGTTGTACACTCTGTATAAGCGGGATGTGTCCGCTTCTCTCATGTTATAAGGGATGTATAAATCAAAAGCTTCCCGCTTCTCCCCTGTATATGCGGGAAGACTTCTATATGTTAATTTTGTATGTTTTTATCTTCCACATCAATATACTTGACCGAGAGTGCTTGGTGAAACAGACAGTGGAGCTTAGATTAGGTTTGTTTTTATTGAAATTGCTGGCTGCCTGGCTCGCAGCATCTTGCGAACCCATCTTCATGTAGTCTTCTCTGGTCGACCCTTGATTCTGGGCAGGCCACATAAAACACTTCCACCATAAGCCCGTGTATGGAAAGTTCATGAATTCTGTTTCGTTATCGCCGTGGCTTCTAATTTTTTATCTTTCTTTTGCTTCAATACTGCATTAAATTCTTTTAGATGTTTTAAAGAACATTTTTTTCATATTTTTAATATATTGACAGAAATCTTACAGTTTCTATGGACACTGATCCCAAAGTTCCGATAAAAAAATATAAAAATAAAGACTCTTGTTTTTATTAATCTCTAAACCAACCCCTTGGAGTTAGATCCCCTGTCATCTAATGCAACATGAGAGACATCCATATTTGATTAAACGTTGTACAGCTGGACCAGAGTATAGATAAAAACCAGATAATTGGTCTGAGTATGCGCAACAGGTAACATAAAAAAAATTATCCAAGTGTTTTCTAATAAAAGAATTTTTTAATTATAAATTCAAAATATAATATTTATTCAATGATATCTTTTTTTTAAATATTGGTACAATAAATTTTAAATATTGAATAATATTTTTTAAAATATTAAGATTATATCATATTAAATCGATAAAGATTAATTTACCAAATAACACTAAATAAATTATAAAAATTAATTTATAATCAATCTAATATTAAAAAAAATAAAAAAAATATTAAATTTAAAAAACAAAAAATTACTCAAGTCAACTTATGTTAATTTGTCAAGCCTACAACACTAATCATAAAATTAAAATAATCTTATACAAATAAATCTGAAAAAAAATATAACTTAATTTTTAATTAATCTAAGTTTTGCAAGATAAAATAAAAAAAATCAATTAAAAAAATTTAAATCAATTAAAATTAACATGTAAAACCCGCAATATATATCATAAAACCAAGATAAATCCATAAAAAAATTAAAAAAATATTATAAAGCTTCACTTTTAATAAATCTAGTATTAAAAGTTGAAATTAAAAAAATAATAATAATAAATTCATGAGATTGTTATATAACCTAACAAAAAGATATAAAACACTATACTTAAAATAATAGAATATTAAAAAATAAAAATAAAAAGTTAAATTGATAAAAATAAAAATAAAAAACATTTCATGCGAGAACGGGAAAAAGCAGCTCTGGTAAAGTGGTCATTAACAAGGGAAAAGCAATCTACTCTGTTAAATGGTTGTGTTTAATCTTTTTCACCTTAACAAACAAATATTTTAAATGCAAGCATTCATCAAGAGATTACCACATCAATTAGTTGATAAAATTACATTAATTACTCGGTAAAACGTTGTCGAGGAATACAGACAGCAGAAATGCTCATTCTCAGAAGGGACCTACAAGAGCAAAAAGAACACGTCCCAGACGTCCTTACTTTCAAAATTTTATAAACACGTCTTGTTCTTTTCTTGCTCTCCTAGCTGATAATGTACACCCTCAGATTATGCTTTTCTTCGTTATCATCATCATCTTGCTCTATGTTTCAACGAAAAGGGAACTAAACAAAGGGAAGAGAAAATGGTAACACAAGTCTCAAGAAGAAATCGGCATCAAATTCCTTACAAGCAGCTGTCTGGATGGACAGTCCAAGCAAAGCTTAAATTTCCAAAGTTTCTTCTTTACTCGGTGCTTATGAAGTGCAGGAAACAAGACAATAAGGAAAAATGATGCCAGGCATTATTACTACTATTATTGCGTGCTATTCATTACTGCCATCAAAACTTCCTTGAGCACTTTGTCGTCTTTTTTCTCTCCAATTTTCTCCCCACATCTTGGCCTCAGCAACAGCTCGTTCTCTATCCAAATCCCTGTTTAACATCCTAGCAGTTTCTCTTGGCGAGTCCTCTTTCTCAGACCCATCCAAATCCCATTTGCGTCCAGATCCTCCGCCTTCCTCATTCCTTGATAACTGTCCACCCCTCTCCTCTCTACGTCTCTTTTCATCCCTGTCCCCCAAACCTCTGTAGCCATGACCATTAGGTTCATATGCCTGGTTCGCTAAATAAGAAAGTGCGGTGACCACATCCCCAATGAGAGGACGTGCAGCAGCTTGCTCCTGGATGCACATGGATGCCACAGCTAAAGCCTGGTAGAGTCCTCTCATTGGATAACGTCCCTGAAGTCGTGGGTCTGCTAATTTTGAGAGTTTCCTACGATCATTGAATAATGGACGTGTCTGCATAATTGTAGAACCTTCGTCAATTCACAATTATTACATGAGCATAGGAAATACGTGGACAACAAGACAACAAAGAATGGGGTAAACTTCAGAATGGTCAGATTATTACCCATGTCACGAGGTTCTGTTCTCCATGTGGTCGAGTGCTGTCAATGGCTTTACGACCAGTAATCAGCTCTAAGAACACTACCCCAAAACTGTAGACATCAGATTTTACAGTCAATTGTCCGGTCATGGCATACTCAGGAGCACAATAACCATAAGTACCCATAACCCTGGTGGAAACATGTGACTTGTCCCCGGTCGGGCCAAGCTTTGCAAGCCCAAAATCAGAAAGCTTTGGATGAAATCCTTCTTCAAGTAATATGTTGGATGACTTGAAATCCCTATAAATAACAGGAGGACTTGCTTCATCATGCAGGTATTCTAAGCCTTTGGCTGCACCTGCAGCTATCTTCATTCTTGTGTTCCAATCTAGTGGTTCCTTTTCAGGTGGAAGGTCTGCAGAAGAATCCATCAACTTCTAGTGAGTTAAATAAAATTAATAGCCACTCCTTCCCTTCAGCAATTTGTAATTTAGTTGACAAAAAATATGCCAAATGTGTACAGTGAAAAGCAACTCGAGAATTGTACACATACACCAAGCATTAACTTCAATCAAACATTATCCTAAAATCTCAAGCATGACACTTCATTTTCCTTTGAGTGCTTCAGTGCTTTAATATCTTAATAGCCTACTGTGTTCAAATATCAACATCTGCATTCTTATTTGCCAATTGGACTTGTCCCTTGTAAATTTTACTTTCCTATTCCAAATTATTCAAATTAAAACTGACACAATCTTTGATCCTTGAAGTATTCATTCAAAGCAAGCAACCAATGAATTGACAGTTGAAAAATATTAATGTGGAGGTTAATCTATCTATTTGAATGATTAGACAATGATGATCGCAGAACAGTGAATTCCACCTTCTAATATCTCAAAAATAAAAGTCAATTAAGAAAATGAATACAGACCTTGTATTTATTTTGAGCATTGCCTCAGAAATCAACATAACTGTTTACAACTAAACTAACTTATTCAAGCATAATTTTACACCGGTCAAACACAGGTATTGTAACTAATTTACAGCAGCTATTGAAGCAATGTCTCAGTTCTATGATGATAGACATTACACTTTCATCGGCTATAATGTGATCTAAATGACAATCAAATCCACCTCAGCTACCAGAATGTTTTAGCATCATCGTGGTACAATCAATCCAAAAAAGGGAGGAGAACAGAAAGACAAGAGAACAACCATTAGGCTTTTTATGCACAAGTTTTTCATTAAAGAAAATCAACATCACCAGCCAGGAAAAGGGATGAGAAAGAGAGATCATGATACCTCCTCTAACCATAATCAGTGGCGAAAGCTAAATGGTTCAATAAGCCATCCAAAATGTCCCTAGTTGTATATTCTCCAATAACCTAACTGACATGACCATGCTCTTGTCTTTGCTTTAACCAACCTTAACTTCAGCTTCTCTATGACATCAGTCATGATGCTTCTTAGGTAGTCCAATCGTTGAAATTTGTCTTTTAGGATATTTTTCACTTTGATGCTCAGCATTGGGCAGTGATTTTATTGTGACAGTTCAATGATTGAGTTTAACACTAATAGTAAGAAGCTAGTAACCCTTGATAATACAAATAAATGAGAAACGATAAATAGTGATAAATAGTCAAAACTGAAGGTTTAGAAATGCAAGGAATGTTACCATGAAGGTGATCTTCCAATGATCCCAAGGGCATAAATTCATAGACAAGAAGCCGCTGATCCCCATCAGCACAATAGCCAATCAGGTTCACAAGGTTTGGATGATGTAAAAGGCTCAGCATGAGAACCTCCACTAGAAATTCCCTATTACCCTGAAGGCCATTCCTATCCAATTGTTTGACAGCAACAACCTGCGAAAAATAGGAAGAAAGGAGAAATGAAAAGCACTCAATCATTTCCAGCTCTTAAAGAAAAATAATGTCCCCTTGTTAGTCCACAGATGTATAATATGAATTTCAAAGAATATCCTTAGCATAATCCCACCAGACTTTCACTGCGACATCATAATTTTATGCTGTGTGAGGAAGAACAAAATTTGTTAAAATCTTTCATATATGCTGGTCTTCCCTTGAAAACCTATCAATTTCAAGCAGTAACAGCAGCCTGGGAAGGATACAAAGTCAGTTTAAAGAAAATTACGTTATCGGGTTGGACTATGTTTAACTGGCCTAAAGATTAAATGGGCACCCTTGATGACTCATTAGAATAATAGCATCAGCCTATCATGGTTCTGGTATCAACACAAAGAGTATAACAACCACGCTCATCTATTGGTGACTTAACAATACTTAAATCCTTGGTCGCCCAATTCAAGGATTGTAATAGTCAAAAGACAAATCCTCATAACTTGATATTCCTGTCCTCATCTAAGTTGGGGTAGGGAGAAACCACTTTAGCATGGATCTCTAGTGCTAAACTGTGAATACTATGAATGAAGTAGATCAGATAGGTATGCTGTGATAAATAAACCACGGCATAAAGGAAATATATCTCAATTACATTATGCCTTCAGAAATGCAAATGGTTAAGAGACCATATATATCACATAGCAGTAACTGATACAGTTTTTGCAGTCTTGTTTTCTGATATATCCGATTGACCAG